ATTTGTCAAAGCAGGAAATGTTCTAGCACCAAAAGCCAGAGTTGAAATTTTATGGATCATGAGCAGCTGTTGCAACTCATCTTTATTTTTCACAGAGAGTAGCCAGACCACTTTTTATATTTGGGACTTATGCACTAGGAGATCTACTATGTCCAGAAGCAAATTGGAAGATAGTGAAATCCATATCATTTCAGACAAATTTCCTTAGCCTGGTTAGTACAATCGAGTAAACATCTGAAGGCTGCACTCTGTCTTCATTGCAAAACTTGAAAATGTGTAAAAGTACATAAAATTCCTGAGACAGCTTAATAAAAACGCCAACAAAAGGAAGAATGACACCAGATACCAGTGAAAATTACAAAATTGAAAAGGCATGCTTATTGAGAGTAGGCAAACAAAAAGTACATCTCAACAAATGTCTATTTTTCAAAAGACACCAAGGTAAACATAAAAGACCCCCTCAATTGCATCAGAAAAAAAGTAAGTGGTAAAGGAGTCTAGTATTAGAGTGGAAAAGAAAACTGATGAGAGATGGCACTAAAAATGTGAGCTTTCAATGGATGCTTCTGAGAATTTTAGCCTCTATAAGAGATAATAAACAGTGATTTTAAAACGTGTTTGGCTGATCTGCTAATGTGAAGAGTTCTTCATTCTTCAGAATCCAATCTTAGCTGTTACTTATGAAATAATCACTCTTAAGGAGACTCTAACATATTTGGGAATCTGGTGAGGGAAGAATGGCAGTAAGAAGCTCACTCAAAAACCTAGGAAAAGCTAATGTAATCACATAAAAGACATTATTTCTTTAAAGGAATAAAATACTGACAATTATTTGGGTGAAATTATATTTCAGATATATTTGACCATTATATTTGACCCTTTCTTTTCAAAGTCCAGAGAATATTGCTCCAGATGAGCCTAAGTATACATTCTTTCCATGCCTACCATTGAGCAAATTATTGTTGTTAAAGAAAGTTGCAGAAGAGGAAATGTTGGTGCCAAAATGAATTCCTAATCACCAATTTCAAATCCATCTTCAGAGAAGCCTAGCAATTCTACCTACTTCTTTTGCCAAACAGGTCTCCTTTATTACAACAATGTTCTAGCATTTTGTTGTTGTTGTTGTTTACTTTCCTCAAACCATTCACTTTATTCAACCCCCAGTGGTAACGCCCTATTCCAAGCCACAAATCATCTTATTCAAATCAAAACATTAGCCAGGTTATTTAATTCCCTGCTTATATTCTTTTCCTCCTCCAGTTCACTCTCTAGACTGAGCCATATACTCTTTTCTAAAGAAAATCTGATTATTTTACTCTGCTGATTAAATCACCTCAGTTACCTTTCCATAGGGGGAAAATAAAAATCTATAACCTGTACTATAACTTTATCTCAAACCACTTTCCCTCTGTACTTTCTATGTTAAAACTGCAGTAGCTGTTCATTACTCAGGAACATAAAGCTTCTCCCATCCCTACCCATTGTATTAGTATTTTGGGGGCTGCCATAATACAGTACCACAAACTGGCTGACTTAAAACAATAGAAATGTATTGTGTAACAGTTCCAGAGCCTGGAAGTTTGAAATCAAGGTGTGAGCCCGGCCATGCTCCCTCAAAAAAACCTGTAGGGAAACCCTTCCTTGCATCTTTCTTCTGGTGGCTTTCTGGGACTCTGTGGTTTTCCTTCCCTTATTGATGTAACACTCCAATCCTCCATCTTCACATGGCATCTCTCTTTGTGTCTCTTTCTGTTTCCAAATTTCCCCTTTATACAAGGACACCAGTCGTATTGGATTAGGACCCGTCCTAGTGCTCTCATTTTAGCTTGATTACCTGTGTAAGAACTGCATTTCCAAACAAGGTCTGTGATATTGGGATTGGGACCTCAATATATCTTTTTTAGAAGGACATAATTCAACCCATGAAAACCCACTGTCAACACAGAAGTTTTTCACATGCTATTTGTTATCCCAGAAATCTTTGCAACCTTGCCTAGCCACCATTCCAAGTTTTGACCCAAAATGACTTTTCTTAGGGAAGACTGATGTACAATCTAAATATGTTTTTCCCACTTAATGCATTCACTTGGCCTTCGTAACACTTGCTTGTCACATTTGTAATTTACACTTTATTGGTGAGATTTTTTGATTAGTATCTATCTACTTCACTCAACTGTGAGCTCTGTTAGGGCCATTTTGTTCACTGTTGTATCATTACAGTGTTTGGAATACTGTGATAGGCATTCAGTGTTTTATTGAGTAAATGAATAATGGATCAGACCAGAAATAACAACCACGGCTTCAATATGTCTACTTTCACTAAAATGTTAGTGAGAACATGGGGTTATTATTTTCATATAATACAAATAAAACAATACTCTACTTGCCAGAAAATAATTTCTCTATATTAGACTAATTGACTAAAAGAACCAATAAGAAATTTGTGGTTTATTTTGAGTTATCTGTGTGATAGTGGCTGCGCAGGACTATCTAACCCTGCTCATGCCCCTCAATTTCTGTTTTCAGTTTTAAAAAATCAACTGTCTTAATATCCAAATTACATTAATAAAATATCAGGTCAAGCAAAAAAGCAAAAGATTATGATAGAGTCAAGGACTATTCAGCTCAGAACAAAACTTATTACAAGTGCTGTGCTTGGCTCTGGAAACAGTAATAAAGAAATAATTCCTATATTATGACAAATGCTACATGAGTTATAATCAACAGAACTGGGAACAGAAATGCCTACCTACAATTCCTGCCTTCGTAGGTTTGACTATTGTTTTTAATGTTATACATCAATGCCTTTGCATTCAATAGGCAAATGTGACTTTTGATTCTTGGGAAGTCATCTGTACTTTACAATTTTTTTCTCTTTCACAATTTCTAACATGAATGGTTATATTCTAAAGCCATAATCTATATCTGTTAATGTGTTGTCTTGAACTGGCAGAACTAGTTTAGAATTCCAGCTCTTCCCCTTACTACTGGGCCATTATGAACAATCTACTTAATCTTTTTAAGTCTCCATTTCTTTTTCTATAAAATCAAGGTAATAATATTATTTGATTGGTTAGATTATTATGGATATTAAATACATATAATGTATGTAATAAAATGCCTGGGTATTGTTAACAATCAACAAATGTTTCTATTATTATCTTCATCAACAAGCAAAAGAGATAAATTTTAAAGTCTTCCATTTCAAATACATGTGTTTTATTTTTTTTGTATGGTTCAGTTTGTTTTCCTAAGTCAAGGTACTGTTTTTACAATTGTTTTCTTTTCTCTTTTTGTAAGCTTTATTGAGGTATACTTTATATATAAAACATTGCATATATTTAATGTGTACACCTTGATGACTTTGAACATATGTAGACACCTGTGATACCATCACCACAATCAAGGTTCTAAACATGTCCATTGCCTCCAAAATTTTCTTGTGTGTGTGTGTGTGTGTGTGTGTGTGTATGGGTTTGTTAAGAACACTTAACATGAGATCTATCCTTTCAACATATTTTAAAGTTCAGGATACCATATTGTTAACTATAGATACTATATTACACAACAGATCTCTAGAACTTATTCATCTTGCATGACTTACACTTTATATTCATTGGCTCCTGGAAACCACTATTCTATTCTCTACTTCTATGAGTTTGACTATTTTAGATCCCTCATTTATGTGGTATGCAGCTAAGTGGAATAAGCCCGTAACAAATGGACAAATATGATTCTTTTTTATATCTAAGGTTCATGTTTACCTATTAGCTCTTATACACAATGAATTAACAATATTTTCTTTAGGTAGATCATGAGTAAATTTATTATTAAGAATAGCATATGGATAATTTCCAATTATCTACTGAAGATTTTATTCTGCCTAAAAGTTACAAAAACAAAGAGTGATAAATTGATAAAATATTCTTATTTGAAATATTTATCCTTAAGGTTAAAATGTTTTTGGCTTAAGTAATATTTATTCTTGATGGAAGTATTGCCTTTGAAAATTTTGCATAAATCAAAATATATTCTGCAAACATTAAATGGCCAAAAGTAAAATTGAAACAATGTAAATATTTTGTTTTATTGGTACATATTATTTTTAGCTGTGAACATTAGCCAGAATTTGACAACTAGCCATATTATATCCTATTAAAACTGAAAATTACTTCTTCCAGATATATTTTTTCCACCTTTCCCATATTTATAGAGTTACCAACTTCCCAAAAGTTGTACTCTAAAAGTCGTATGTAAGAATGCTTTTTAAGGATTAAAATAATATATATTCCCATTACAGCTATATTATGCATAGTTATATAGAAAACACCAGGAAGATTTTCATGATGTAGTATCAATCCAGTATGGAGGATAACAGGAACACATAGCCTCAGTTATACTAATTTATTCATTCTTATCTAAATCTTGAACTTGTCTCTTGCTGCTTTAAAATGGATATGTTGACCATATCTTTCATAGTGGTTTCTCATCTTTGTCAGTTATGTAGGTATTATCCACATTATTTCTCCAGAATTTTCTTTTAAAAAGTTAAACATACAGAAGAGAAATGAAGGTTTTGAGTCATGGAGCCAGTATTTTTAAGCACTTATTAAGTGTCTTTCCAATTCAATTCAGCAGTCATTTATGAATTCTGGTGTGTTAGGCACAGCACTAAATAATCAATACCTTTCACTTACATTATTTGTATTGATCCTTACTTTACCCCAAGAGGTGTGTGCTCTTATTTCAATTTTAAAAATAATGAAGCTGAGTTTCAAAAAGGTTAAACAAATGTCATAGTAGGATTCGAACCTAGATCTGCCTGATTCCTTAGACTATGCTATAATTATCATTCTATGCTTCCTCTATAAACAAAATCCTTATCAACTTGTTTACCAAAAGAGCAATAACTGTGGCCATTGAAATGCCTTTAAAATTCCATGTTAAACTCTGTTAATAAGAAAACCAACGAAATGATTTTTTTGTTTATTTTTATATAGGTACATGGCCATTATTGATCCTTTGAAACCCAGACTGTCTGCTACAGCTACCAAGATTGTCATTGGAAGTATTTGGATCCTTGCATTTCTACTTGCCTTCCCTCAATGTCTCTACTCCAAAATCAAAGTCATGCCAGGCCGTACTCTTTGCTATGTGCAATGGCCAGAAGGTCCCAAACAACATTTTACGTAAGTTATTTCTCTATAATGATTTCAACTTCAATTTATTAAGCAATTAGGAAACTACAGATTAGGAGCACTAATCAAGCAAATAAGACACAGACATTTCTTTCAGTGCTCACGCATTAGCTGGCAAAAGAAACACATAAAAATACTATAATACAGTATGAGAGGGTCAATAAGTTTGTATAAGTTACAGAAGTTTTTAATTGGAAATATGAGGACTTTATATGAGGTGGCATTAGAGAGTTTCCTGAAGGAAGTGATAAAAAGATGAAAGCCATGTACCAAGCAAACAAGGTTTTTATTGATTGATAAATGAGTGAGAAGGAAGAAACCAAAGCCCCAAAGTGTTGATTGCTCCTTGAAGAAACCTGGATGAAGAGAAGGAGTATCCTGGTAGGTTCTTTAATTTTATTTTGGTTTGATGTGGTTTGTGTTCCTTTGTTTCAGCATTGAAAACCCAGAACACTAGGTTGAAAAGGAAACAGGAGTGCTATGTGATAGAATTTGCTGTTTCATATTTTGGACCCACCTTAAAAAGAACAAAGGAAGATAAAAAGTATAATTGTGTAATTGATTGCATTTCTTAAAATCCTGATCATTTAAGTTTTATTTCAATAAAATGCTTTTTTCCCTTTTTTAGCAACAAATTTTTCCCTCTAAAACTAACAAATTCCTTGCTGGATTTGGTGCACAATGTACACTATTCAGGTGATAGGTGCACTAAAAGCCTAGACTTCTCACTATAAAATTCATCCATGTACAAATAATTTGTACCCTCTAAACTCCCTAAATAAAATTTTAAAAATATAAAATGGTGCAAATAATGGTCATATTTTAAAGCAGTCATTTTATCTAACTACCCAGAGTCCAGATTTTGTGAGAAAAATGTGAAGGAGCACTTATTCTAGGGAAATTAAGCAGTTGTTATTAAATTGAGTATTGTATTCTATCCATTATTAGTAGTAAATCTTAGTTGTATGATAGTGTTGTCATCCTCAAATTATTTGTTGACCAAATTACTTCCCCTTGAATTTAAATCCATTCTTAGTAAACTACCAGGAAACAGGAAGGCAAAGAGGTTTAAGTTCACCTTACAAAAGAACACCACTATTGGGAAGACTAGTATAGCAAGCTAACATTTTAAAGCCTTCCTGAAACAACAGAATCCACACACAAGTTTGTAAAATTCTATTTGGGCTATTATATTATGATTTACCCTCCCTTCCCTTTCTAATTGCATTCTTATAATTTTGATTGCAAGCTATGAAATCCTAGAATTTAACTTGATAATTTAAAGTAACATGCCTTTGGTGTGACTAACAGTTCTACAAGTTTTTTACTCAGGTAATGATGCTATGGAATGCAGCGTGACTTTGGGAAGATACGTAAATGTCTTTACTTGATTTTATAAAATCACAATCAAGTAACTTGTGGATCCAATATGGCTCAGAGTATCTACCTATGTTTTTTTCCCATTTGGATGAAAAACAATTTATTTCAAATATATCTGACGTTGCAGGGATGTGTAGAACAGTCCTACACGGAGAAAATATGTTACTCGTTCTGCCTCTTCCCTTTGGGCGCCGTCCTCAACCTCTAGGCAGGGAGAATATGTGCAGTTTAAATGCAGCTCAACTACTATGTTCACACACAAAGTAAAGATTAACAAGGACCAACTGGCAGCATTTGGAACATGACTGTAGGTGATAACAGCATGATTCACTGATGGATTTGTGAATTAAGAGCATAGAGATAACGTGTAAATAATCTTCAGCAGTTTTAATCATGGTTTAAAGCTGAAATTCAAAGCCCCACACGCATCAGTCCAACAGGTTCTTCAGTGACTGTTTTCTTGTTTCTTCCAGGTACCACGTCGTGGTCATCATACTGGTGTACTGCTTCCCATTGCTGGTCATGGGTGTCACATACACCATTGTCAGCGTCACTCTCTGGGGAGGGGAAATCCCAGGGGATACCTGTGACAAGTATCAAGAGCAGCTCAAAGCCAAAAGAAAGGTACTGTCCGTGTGATCTACCTGGCCTGTGTATCAGAGAGGGAAACGACCTAGCCATGGCGCTTTAATATAATATGACTTAATCTTCTACTATTTTCATGTCTTCTTTGTTTTTCAAGTTCTTTTCTTTTACTTTTTTTCTTCTCTAAACAACTGTCCATAGACCATATCAATATCAATCTGTGATGAAAAACTTACTTCCTTACAGCAAGGCTTGTGTTTTATCACCTTTCGCAGAGTATTCTTAGTTACTCTGCCTGAAATTGCTGAAATTTCACTTTAAGTGGAATTCCAGTTGACTGTACTTCTGCAACTCTGGCTATCTTTGTCCTTTATTAAACAGAATGACTCTAATATACTCCATAATCTGCCCGAAGCATCTTTTATCCTAGGAATGACATATCTCCTGGAAATGCTATTTTTCCTTAATATGCATAGATCCTTCTTCCATCCCCTCCTGCTATCTCTCTCCCCTCTTCCCTCTCCCTCCTCCTCTCTCTTTCTGTTCTTCCCTCTGATAAACTATCATGTATATCTGATGAAAAAACAAGAATTATATTAATGCTCTTCTACGATTTATTGGGTGACATGAAAAAGACTATTTCTGGCCGGGCAATGGCATTGAATTAGTTAATATCAAGAAGTTTAAAAACAAATCATTTATGTTTGCCTCTCAGACTCACAGTGAACAAAGGTAGACAATCAACCGCTAACAGAAATCACATTTCTACACAAAGCGTGGAATAATGCAACCTCTACTTAAAATACTTCTAAAATGAAGATCAAATGAATTAAAAATTCTATTGAAGGAATCATATGATGGACAGTTATCACATGTTCTGGGACACAGCTAAACAGTTCTGAAGGAAGTTGTCTCATAAATGCCTATTATCAAAATCAAAAGATCCAAATAGACAATTTAACAAACGACTCAAAGAGCTGGAAAAAAGAAGTACAGAACCAAACCCAAACGCAGCAGAAGAAGTGATAACACAAGATCAAATCAGAACTAATCGAATTGAATAACAGGTGACGCTATTCAGAGATTTATAACAAAAGTTGTTCTTTGAAAATAACTAAATTGCACATATTGGCTAAGCTGAACATAAAGCATAAAGAGAAACCTAATAATTGCTTCCCTCAGTGAACAAAAAAGGAGATATCACAATGACCCAAATAGATACAAGATACAATTTTATATACTGGACAGTAATAATCTTTATGGAACAAACTGGAAAATGTGGAGAATGACAAATTCTAGAAACACATAGCTCCCTAGGCTCAACGAGGAAGAAATATTTTGAAATGAACATCTTAAAGAGCTGAAATAAGCAGGCAATAAAATCTCCTATGAAAGGAGTCTGATTCCATGATGGTTTCTTCACGATTTTTACCTACACTTACAAAGAAGATATACCTTATTCTTGCAGAATATTCACAGACATGTCGAAGAACAAGAACTCCCCCCGACACCTTTTATGAAGCGAATGTTACTCTGATACCAAAACAGGAAAGGATGCAACAAAAGAAAACTATCAGATTCAATATGCTATGTAATATGAGATCAAAAAGTTTCACATAATCTTAGTAACTGATCCACAGTGCAGACCAATTAGTGGGCATTATACAGGATGATCGGATGGTCACATTACAATAAATCTATTAAATGTCAAATTTACTTCTACATAAACAGACAAAAACAAAGACTTACATGGATTTTTTTCAATAGATCAGAAAGCTTTGACCAAAGTTTGAACCACCTTGTCATGATACAACACTTAGAAATAGGCATAGAAGGACATACTAAAAATGGAATGCAAGTCCATATATGATCTAGACCCATCAGCCAACATCATATGTCTAAAGGGGAAAAGGAAATCATTCCCATTGACTGGACCAGACAAGGCTGTCCACATATTCTGTCCACTTCTATTCAACATAGTGCTGCAAGTCTGGCTACGCAATCAGGAAAAGGAATAAAGGTATCGGAATGGGTCAAAGAGATCAAACTTCACTGTTTGCTGATGATATGCCTTATCTCCGGTCGAAAACCCAAAGTCAAGCCAAAACTCTGGACTGATCAATGAATTAGTAAAGTCTCAGGACAAAATCAATACACAGAATCAGAGGCATTCATATACACAACAACAATCAAATGAGAACCAAATCAAAGACTCCAATTCCGCTTCACAATAGCAACAAGAAATTGAAGTACTAGGAATTACCTTAACAAGAGGTAGAAAGACGTCTACAGGTGAACTATGAACACTGGAGGAAGGAAATACAGAGGATGTTAACAGATGGAAATCCATACATGCTCGTGGATCGCAGCTCAATCATCAAAATGTTAACTACCCAAAACTGATTACAGAGTTCTAATGCAATGTACCTATTAAATCCCATCAGCATTCTTCACAGATATAGAAAAATATTTTACGCTTTCGTATGAGCTAAGAATACCCCAAATTGACAGAGCATTCTTAGGCAACCAAAAACAAAAATGGGAGGGCATTAAATATGCCAGATATCAAAACTATACTACAAAACGCTAAGTAATTAAATCAATATTGGTATTAGCACAAAAATAGCAATATTGACCAGTGAATTATTGAGAACCTGATATAATAAACCATCCTCATCATAGCCATCAATGTTTGACAAAGCAGACAAAAACATACGCTGGGGAAAAGAACCCTTTCAAAAATGGTGTCTGGGAAAACTTGATAGCACCTGTAAGGCTAAAACAGACCCAACCTTTCACCTCTCACAAATATCAACTCACGACTGGATAACGGACCTTAACCTAAGGTGATGGACTATTAGAATCTAGAGGAAATGTTGGAAACACTCTCATAGACATCGGCTAGCAAAGAGTTATTGAGAAGTCCCCAAAGAGCAATCACACGCAACAAAATAAATAAATGGAATGATCAAAACTCAAAGCTTCTGCACAGCCAAAGCAATAGTCATGAATAAAACAAGACAACCTATCAAGAATTGGAGAAATTTTGCATCTATGATCCGAATAGGACTGATAACTAGATATACTTAGAACTCCACGAAAATCAGCAAGAAACAAATAACCCCATTAAAAGTGGGCAAAGGATTGAACATGGAAATTTTCTTAATAGAAACAGAAGAATGGCCAGCAAACATATGAGAAAATTGGCTCAACATCTCCTAATTACCAGGGAAATGCAATCAAAACCACAATGAGATATCCTGCTTAACTCCAGTGAAGTGGCCTTATATAAAATCTCAAACAATAAATGCTGGTGTGGATGCGGAGAGAGAGTGAACACTCCTACAGCTGCTGGTGGACTTGCAAGCTGTTCAACCCTGGGATAAGCAATGGAGAACCTTAAAGCATAAAGTGAATCTACCGATTGATCTAGCAATGCCCATTGCTGGGCATCTACCAAAAAATCCAATTGAACTCTACAAAAAGATCAGCTGCATTCGAATGTTTATAGGCAGCCAAATCCATGATTGCAAGGCTGTGGAAACAGCCAAATGCCCATCAATCCAAGAATGATTTAATAAAATGTGGTATATGTATACCATGGAGTACTATTCAGCTCTAGAAAACATGGGGATATAGCACATTTAGATTTTCCCTGTTATAGCTGGAACCCATACTACTAAGTGAAAGTTACCCAAGATGGAAAAACAACCACCACAGTACTCACGCAGCAAATTGATTAACTGAACAATAAGTGGACACATAGGGACTGGGCAGGGGGAGGGTAGAGAGGGCGCGGTATATACATTGTGTCATGTGGAAGACTCAACTTGTGGGGGAGCAGGGGAAGTGGCATTTATTAAACTTAAATCTGTACCCCAATAATATCCAAATATAAAATAAATATAGGAGCACTCAGATTAAATTTTTATTCTTCCTAGAAAACTTCACATGTAATATGAATATAGACTATAATACTATAATATCTGCAGTTACTGGCTTATTTAATTTGTCTAGCGTGAACAGAGAAATGTAAAGAAAAGAAAGATACTAACCATTAAGAAGAAAAATAAGACAGAAATAGTATAAAAGACAAAAAAAGCCGAAATTATCTTGAACTATGGTTACACACACCTCAGTTATTTAGTGTGATGATATCCAAACACAGGTATAAGAATTATCTCAGAAGAGAGTGTGCTGAATATGAGAAAGATTTAAAAAGAGGAGGTTGAATATACACAGAGACAGAAAACTGTTCATAAAAGATGACCATGGTTATTGAAGCTCCTTCATTTAAGATTCTGTTTATAGTACTAAAGACATAGTTTCTAGTTTGTGCACATTGTTTTTAAGGGTCTTAGGTTTTTGAAAGAAAATAAAGTGAATATTATGTTAATTAGACATATTGTATATGACCCAAAATGATTAAACTGATGTGGAAAGATCATGCTTACTTTTTGTTTCAAATAGTAGAGATCATGATAAATATTAACCAAACATAAGTTGTGTCGTCTGTTGTCAGTATCAGAGAATCAAAAGTTAAAATGGATCCACTTTCACATTTTTTAAACCTGATTAAATCAGGTAAGTCAATGCTTGTATGTAAGTAGTTTTAAGATGAGTTACTTTAAAGGAACTGTATTTGTTGGTAGTAGTTCGTACATAAAATAAAATGATCATAACTGAAGTAAATGATTAACATAATTAGTAGGGCTGATTTCCTGAAAAACACTCAAAGATGTATATTAGGTACACATCAACTGGAGAGAAGAGGATGAAATAAGATCCTTCTTTTTTTCTTTTTTTTTTTTTATTTAGATTCCTTCATGCCATGAAGAAATAAGATTCCTTTTAAAACTCTACAAATTAGAAAGAATCTCACTCATTGGCAATAATGATATAGAAAATCATAATAAATCATTCTAGCAAATGTCAGTGATAATATTTAGAGTTTTATTTAATATAAATAGTCAGAAATAGTCTTTTCTTTTCTTTTTTTTTTGTTTGAGACAAGTCTCGCTTGTTGCCAGGCTAGAGTG